GGTCCAATTGGTCAAGTGTCATGTTTAAGTCCAGAATTTCTTTGTTAGCTTTCTGCCTCAGTGATCTGTCTAACTCTGTGAGTGGGGTGTTAAAATCCCCCACCATTATTTGTGGCTGTCTAAATCTTTTCATTGGTTAGGAAGAACTTACTTTATGAATCCAGATACTTCTATATTGGGTGTGTAATATGTCTTATCAACTCTTGATTCTGATTTTTCTCTACCTCTGGAGTATGTTGCTAAGAATTTTGTTAGTATCACTGAAATGTTAGCTTTCATGGAATTTTTTGCATCTAAGATCTTCCATATTCTGCTCCATGTAAAATCAGCCTCTCTTGGGCAGGGTTGAAGAGCTGCAAGTACTTATGACCAGTCATGACCTTGTTTGGAACTTCTATAATAAGGTGCCACAGGTAATGGAAGCTGTTGGATGTAGCAGTATTCTCTACTTGCCCACAACAGATGCTGTGTAACATGGGTCTGGAAAGAATGGGAGTTGTCAGTCTTTAAGGTCTGCCTTACTCTACTCAGTGTGAAACTTTTGTACCTCAAAGTTGTATCTGAGAAGTGGAGGGGGAAAACAGGTCCCAGCTTAAATATCATAGACTACAACTTTTCTTGTTAGGAATCACTAATTTTTCTTGAATAAATGCTCCTGAATGCTTTATGCCATTTGATCATTTTCACACCTGAAATGGTTGTTTCCAGTAATTTTTCAGTTTTATTGTTGGTTTGTTTGAGAGAGAATTTGCTGAGCTTATTACTGCTATTCTGGGATGCTTATTCTTATTCATATTTTTAATTATACATTTGTTAGTTTAACAAAAAGAATTATGCATTTTGTGCAACAATGCAATGTCCTAGTCAACGGGGATTACATAGGTGAACAAGATAGATACAGACCACAGCCTTTGAGGAGCTAACAATATTGCAGACTATTTTGTTATGGAGAATCTTTGCTTAGACTACGTGAACATTTTATTTTTTGTGTCTAGCTTATCAATTGGCAAGGTGACCAAGCCCACTCTGTTGAAACATCACAAAGCCAAGTTTGTTCTCAGAGAAAAACAATGCTGTGATCAATTGTTAATGATTGGCATGGGTACAAGATGGACTCTTGAGGGTGGCATGTTATGATTTTGCCAAACCTAACATATAAATCTTGAGTTTCATGCTAATGTTGGATGCTGAAGAAGTCACAAAAGATCTGCTTAACATTCCTGGAACCAATATCAGTGGGTTTCTCAGATGAGATCTTTAAAATGTTGTATGGCCAATGCTGTTCATCTCAGGATATAAATAGTCCAAGAGATCTTTGAGTACAGACATCTAAACTGAAATGGGGAGAGGGGAGAAAGCCAGTGGAAGGCCACTTTTGTTAGCTGTTTCCTTCCATCTGTCCTGGTAATCACCTCTCCCAATTATTATGACATATAGGTGTTATGTTGATAATCATTGTATGACTAAAGTGGAAGAAAGCTGTAAATAACTTATTTGAGATACAATGATATGAAACATTGTTGATTGCATGTTACCAGGAAATAGCATAGGCTAATCAAATGTTCAAAGAATCTGTAGACTAGATTATTCTCTTTCATTGCTGTGTTATTCCAGTGACATTATGCAAAGAAAGGAGGATGGGGCAGGTTGCCAAGACAAATAATATAAGGTGGTTTTTTTTTTTTTTTTTGCAGTTTTTAGCATGGCTGTGAATGTTCTCCATGACATGCTTACCGTTTCAAACTCATGCTCCTCCTCTCACTCCTCTATTAAAAATTTACTCTCTCCAGTTAGTGTAGTGTTTATACCCTCTGTCCACAGTGTTCCTGATGTGTTTTTCTATTCCATTGCTCATGGGGTTCCTACTGCCTGGACCACTGTAATACTTACCCAACATCCTTCCTCTGACTAATTTCTAGTTCTCCTTCAGGATCCAGGTCAGGGGTCACCTATTCCAGAAAGCCTTCCTTTGTTTTCTTCTATTGAAATTCTCTGTTAACATTTTTCTTCTCTCTTGTACTAAGCTAGGAGCTCCCTGAGGGCATGGAATGTATCTGATTCATCTAACACCAGTGCATACTGTATAGTCCACAATACACGCTTAATAAATTGATTCTCGTTGTAGAGTGTCAATGAAGCAAAGTAAGAGAAGGTACTTTGGTTCACTGAGCACCAAGTGAGGCAGAAGAACAAGAGAAGAGAGTTAATTAAGAGCAGTAGGATTTAGAGTCAGACAGACCTGGGTTTGAATCCTTATCACTTCACTTCATAGCTGAGAGACCCTATTCAGCCTCCTGTTTCTTCTTCTGTGTAATAAATAAGGTCACTTCCTCTGAAATCATAGGGCCTGGGATAAAGTCCCAGTTCCAATACTATCTTAGCTATGTGACTTTGCAAATGTCTCCTAAAGAATTTTGTGTCTAAATTCCTTCATCTGTAAAATAAGGATACTAATAGTTTCTCCTTTTTATAGGGCTGCTGTAAGATAAAATGAGATGAGAGATGTAAAACTCAGAACAATTCTAGGAATAGATAAAACAAGGAAAACACATATAACTAATACTATGAAGTAAAGCAGGGATATTGATATTACCTACATTAATATCAATATAAACATATACATGTCTTCAATAAATGGTATTATCATCACTATTATCAATAATTTTAAAGTACTCTACACATTATTACATTAAATCCTTCCAACCATCCTTCAAAGTCAACGTAGCATCCTCACCTTAGCTGTAAGAAAGCCAAGGCCCAAAAATTAAATATCTGATTTAATTTACCCATCTTGTAAGTAGGAGACAAACATAAGAAACTTATACAAGCTTGGGAAACAGAGGAGAATGTCTCAGTAGGAAAAAAAAAAAAAAAAGAATCAGCAATAAAACATTAACCTATTTGGCATCCAACAATTCTACATCTTTGACAAAAGATCTCCCAAACCTCATATATTTTCAGCTTTAGTAAAGACAATAAAAACAAAACATAACTGAGTATTATCAACCCATACATGTAGTGAAAATGACATTGCATTTAAAGTCAGATAGAATACAACTGAATTTCAGTCCTGACCCTGACCCTTAAATCACTTTATAAGTCATTCAGTTTCCCTTCTCAGGTTTTACACAAAGATAACTTCAGTTGCTGTGAGGGATTTGGGGGAAACATAAATGAGATAATGTATAGAATTTCTGGCTCCTAGTACTTCATATATATTAGAAACTTGCTAAATTGCAGTTATCATCTATCATGAGTCTTGTATCAATATTACCTAGAATATCATCTGGCTTACAAGGGACACTCTTTAAATGTGTCCAAGACTAAACTAGAGGGAAAAGTTGCAAACCATACGAAGCCTCAAGCTGAGGAAAATCCTCCCCAAAAGGTATAAACAGTATATTTCTCCTTGGATTCTAGCCTACTGACTAAAGTATTTTACCTGTCTTCAGAAACCGAGGAGCTAGGTGCTAGAAACTTAAACAGAGCAATTTAGGCAGCAACTTTTTTCAAAGACTTAACAAATTAAGGCCGGGCACGGTGGCTCATGTGTGTAATCCCAGCACTCTGGGAGGCCAAGGCAGGCAGATCATCTGAGGTCAGGAGTTCGAGACCAGCCTGGCCAACATGGCAAAACCCTGTCTCAACTGAAAATACAAAAATTAGCCTGGTGTGGTGGCAGACTCCTGTAATCCCAGCTACTTGGCAGGCTAAGGCAGGAGAATCGCTTGAGCCTGGAAGGTGGAGGTTGCAGTGAGCCGAGCTTGTGCCATTGCACTCCAGCCTGGGCAACAGAAGCGAAACTCCATGAAAGAAGGAAGGAAGGAAGGAAGGAAGGGAGGGAGGGAGGGAGGGAGGGAGGGAGGAAGGAATCAAAGAAAGAAAGAAAGAAAGAAAGAAAGAAAGAAAGAAAGAAAGAAAGAAAGAAAGAAAGACAGAAAGACAGAAAGACAGAAAGACAGAAAGAAAGAAAGAAAGAAAGAAAGAAAGAAAGAAAGAAAGAAAGAAAGAAAGAAAGAAAGAAAGAAAGAAAGAAAGAAAGAGAGAGAAAGAAAGAGACAGGAAGACAGGAAGGAAGAAATTAAGAGTGAGTGACCAAAGCCAGGGAGAGAGTAAGGGTGAGGAAATTAAGGATAGAGACTATTTAATATCCTCTCTCTCATCCTCCACAACCCTTATGTTAATTAATTTACATGTATTATTTCATTTAATCTTAACAGCAACACTGCAAGGCATAGATTACCCTGACTTCCTAGATAGGAAATAAGTTGAGAAACATTCAATGTTTTCCTCTAAGATGCACAAGTAGAAAATTGCAGAGCAAAGGATTCCAAATTCCAACTTTAAGTGGACCACAGGTTTTTTGGGTGAGAATGCGTATTTGATGAAGACTTTTCTATCCTCATCTCAAAGAATAGTGTGGTTCCCTGGGACAAGACCCTGGAGAAACCATAGAAACTGACCTAGTACGGATCCATGGGCCTTTAGACCTCACATAATCATGATCCATCCATAGCTTAAAAACTAGGCGAAGAAAACTAGTTTGATGAACAACAGAATGAATTGAATTCAAAGGGGATGATAGCTAAGGCAAGTAAACAATCCCTTGGAGAATTGTCTTTTGTACGAGAATCTTCTGGGAAGCCAGAGATCCTGAGAAAAGCTTAACTTGGTTTAATTCAGAGCAGCCAGGGGAGATTTTGCATCTAGTGTGATCACACTGTGGGATAGAAGACAAGTGGCTGAACCTCCCTGAGGCACAGTTCTGTAAAATGTGGATACTCATATGCACTTGTAGGGTTTTGGGGAGAAACCAGATATTGGCAAAGTATATTCCACATATGACATTAGCAACTGTTTTCTGGAGTTTTCAATCACACAACATTTTTATACCTGCATGTTTAAAACTTGTCCAACTGCAAAAGAAAATTATGTTTTCCTTGGAAACATACATCTCTATTTCTTTAAGATTACAGAATGCAAGGAATACAATTAGGTACCTGTGTAAGCAAAGTTGAAAGGCCGTGTTAGAGGGACATGATGCTTAGGTGCCACTGTGGGATGTGAGGGATATAAGAATACACCATCATCACCTAACATCTCCACCAGCTCTTTACGCAGGCTTTCTTCCACTGCCTTAAACTTTTGGTATTTCTCATTGTTATATTTGAGCTTTTCTTCCAACAAAGCCAGCCCTACAGAATGATAACATATATCAAATTAAGGTAATAAACTTCATTTTAATTCATAGTGTTTTTTATCTTTCCTTATTCAAGTAATACATGTTCATTATAGAACACTGAGAAAGTAAGTGATGAAAAAGAAAACTTTATAATCTTACCATCTATTGTCAATCATTTACTTTTAACTCCTTCTAGTTTGTTTTAGTAATGCTACATATAACATTTCTAGCCTCTGCTACTGCATAGTACATCATAAGGATTGTTCACATAATTGAAAACCCATTATAGCTGAGCACGGTGGCTCATGCCTGTAATCCCAGCACTTCTCAAGGCCAAGGCTGGCAGATCACTTGAACCCAGGGGTTCAAGACCAGCTTGGGCAATATGATGAAACCCCATATCTACGAAAAATACAAAAATTAGCCAGGTGTGGTGGTGAGCCCCTGTAGTCCCAGCTACTTAGGAGTTGAGGCAGGAGGATTGCTTAAGCCCAGGAGGTCAACGCTGTAGTGAGTCATAATTGCACCACTGCACTCCAGCCTGGACATGAGAGCAAGTCCCTCAGAAAAGGGAAACAGAGAATAAAAGTTTGGAAAATTTGCAGCCTTACGATAGATAGAAAAGAAAAAACCCATTTTCTAAGGAGAAATTCAAGCCGGCTGCAGAAATTTACATAAGTAAGGAGGATCCAAATGTTAATCTCCAAGACAATGGAGAAAATGTCTCCAGGGCATTTCAGAGTCCTTTGTGGCAGCCCTTTCCATCACAGGTTCAGAGACCTAAGAGGAAAAATGGTTTCGTGGACCAGGCCCAGGGCCCTCTTGCTGTGTGCAGCCCAGGGACTTGGTGCCCAGCATTCCAGCCCCTCCAGCTATGGCTGGAATCATGGCTAAAAGGGGTAAGGTTGAGCTCAGGTAATTGCTTCAAAGGATGGAAGCCCCAAGCCTTGGTGGCTTCCATGTGGTGTTGGGCCTGTGGGTGAACAAAAATCAAGAATTGATGTTTGAGAACCTCTGCCCAGATTTTACAGTTTGTATGGAAATGCCTGACTGCCCAGACAGAGGTGTGATGCAGGGACAAGGCCCTCATAGAGAACCTCTGCTAGGGCAGTGTGGAAGGGAAATGTGGGGTTGTAGCACCCACACAGAGTTCCCACTGGAGCACTGCCTAGTGGAGCTGTGAGAAGAGGGCCACTGTCCTCCAGACCCCAGAATGGTAGATCCACTGATAGCTTACGCAGTACACCCAGAAAAGCCACAGACACTCAATGACAACACATGAAAGCAACTTGGAGGGAGGCTATACCCTGGAAAGCCATAGGAGTGGAGCTGCCCATGACCACGGGAACCCACCTCTTGCATCAGCATGACCTGGATTAGAGACATGGAGTCAAAGGAGATCATTTTGGAGCTTTAAGATTTCACTGCCCCCCTGGATTTTGTACTTGCATGGGGCTTTTAGTCAAAAATTTATATTTAGATATTAAGAAATATTACAGGACATCAAACTGGTCTAGGTAGAAGATGATTTACATACCAATGGAAGGGATGGTGTACACTGACAGACCCAGGCACCATTTGATCAGCTCCCACAGAGGATTGACATGTTTCCCATGGTCACCAAGCAAATCCACAAATTTCAAAGGTTCCTGAGATTGAAAACAAGAAATAAAATACAAGAATATTTTCTCAAAATAGTAAAGACAAAAATATCTATAAAAGTTTTATAGTAGGATTATGCATAACAGCCAAATACCAGTCAATTGATGAATACATAAATAAAATTTATTAATAAAATATTAGTCACACAATGTAAGTGCTGATATATGATACAATATAGATAAAACTTGAAACATTGTGCCCAGTGAAAGAAGTCAGTAACAAGACACCACACACTTATGAGACTATTTGCATGAAATATCCAGAATAATCAAATCTATAGAGACAGAAAGTAGATTACTGGTTATTTAAGGCTATGGAGGGGCAAGTGGACTGTAGAGTGACTGATAATGAGTATGAGGTCTCTTTTAGGAATGATGAAAATATTCTAAAATTGTGATGATTGTTGCACAATTCTGAATGTACTAAAATCCATTACATTGTATGCATTAAATAGGCACATTGCATGGTACATGAATTATAACTCAATAAACCTGTTATAGGGAAGTGGAGACAGAGCAGGATGGCTGAATAGAATGCTTCAGCAATCAGTCTCCTTGAAAGAACACCAAATTAAACAACTATGCATGCAATAAAGCACATTCATAATAACCAATAAAGTCAGAAATCACAATCACTGGTTTTAACAAAATATCAATAAAAGAGTCATTGAAGAGTGTAGGAAAGATGGTCTTGTATCGCCTACACCAACCCTCCCCCATTGTCCATCAGCACCTCATTGTAAGACAATTTGTTTGCTTACAGGACTGTGAGTTAAGTGAATGGGCTACTTTGCATTGGAACCCAGTCTTGCCCTGTCCCACTGGTATGCAACATAGTGAAAAATTATGCTAGCACCAAAGCAGGGAACATTATAGTGGTTCTGAATGAGGAAAATTCTAAGCTCCAGTGGAAGGAGTCCTGGCTGGCTCTACCACTAGCTGACTAACATGGCCCTAGGCCTGAAGCAAATTTGAGTGACCATCAGGCCACAAGGACTAATAGTCCTTGGAAAAACCCTGGAGCTACACTGTTCTCTCAGAGGCAATTGATTTTGGATGCACCCAACCTAGTGCAACACCAGCTGTGGTGGCCAAAAGAGTGCATACATCACCCTTCCTTTAACTCCAGGCAATGTAGCTGGTGAAGAGACTTCTGTGGCTTTGGGAAAGGAGTGGGAAGAGTACAGAGGATTTTGTCTTGCAACTTGGGTACCAGCTTAGCTATAGTAAAATGAAGCAACAAGGAGATCCCTGAAGCCCCCAATAACAGGCCTTAGCTCCTGTATGGTCTTTCTAGACCCACTCTAGTCAGAAGGGAATTGACTGTACTGAAGGGAAGAACCCAGTACCAGGAGAATTCCCCACCTTCAGACTGAAGAGCACTTGAGTCTCCTATAAACATAAGTCAGGCAGTAGTTGCCATGAGCCTTGGATGAGACCCAGTACTGTGCTAGCTTAATGTTTAATCTAGCACTTTCCCAGCTGTAGTGTCCACAGGAGTACACATGTTGTATACGATGAAAGATTTTAATACATCTTGAGTCGATCTTTGTATATGGTGAAAGACAGGCGTCCACTTTCATTGTTCTACATACAACAAATCAAATTTTCACATATAAAAATGCTACTTATTTTTATACATGGATTTTGTATCCTGAAACTTTACTGAATTTTTTTTTTGGAGTCTTTAGGTTTTTCTAGATATAAGATTATATTATCAGATAACAGGAAAAATTTTGACTTCCTTTTTTCCAATTTGGATATCTTTTATTTCTTTCTTTTGCCAGATCGCTCTGGCTGGGACTTTCAGTACTATGTTGAATAGGAGTGGTGAAAGTGGGCATCCTTGTCTTGTTCTAGTTCTTAGAGGAAATGCCTTCAACTTTTCTCCATTCAGTGTCATATTAGATTTGGGTTTGTTGTATGTGGCCTTTATTACATTGAAATATGTTCATTTTATGCCTAGATTGTTGACACTGTTTATAATAAAACGTTTCTAAATTTTATTAAATGCTTTTCCTGCATCTATTGAGAAAATTATATGTTTTTTTATTTCTGTTTATGTAATATATCACCTTTATTGATTTGTATATGTTAAACCATCCTTATATTCCTAATATAAAACCCACTTGTTTATGGCATATTATCTTTTTGATATGCTGTTGAATTTGGCTTTCTAGTATTTTGCTGAGGATTTTTGCATCTATGCCCTTCAGGAATACTGATCTATAGATTTTCTGTGGTGGTTGTGTTTTTGTCTGGTTTTGGTATCAGGGTGATAGTGGTGTCATGGAAGAATGAGTTATGAAGAATTCTCTGCTCTTTTAACTTCTGGAACAATTTCAAAAGAATTGTTTATTCTTCTTTGTGTGTATGGAATAATTCATCTGCAAGTCCATTTAGTTCTGAGATTACTTTGTTAAAAATTATTTATTACTGATTCAATGTTGCTATTCATTATGGGTCTGCTCAGGTTTTCTATTCCTTCCTGATTCAAACTTGGGAGGTTGCATATTTCCAGAAATTAATTTATTTATTTCCTCTAGGTTTTCTTGTTTGTGGAAGCAGAGCTTTTAATAATAATTTTTAAGGAACATCACACACCGGGGCCTATCACAGGGAGGGGGGAGGGGAGAAGGACTGCATTGGGAGTTATACCTGATGTAAATGACGAGTTGATGGGTGCTGATGAGTTGATGGGTGCAGCACACCAACATGGCACAAGTATACATATGTAACAAACCTGCACGTTATGCACATGTACCCTAGAACTTAAAGTATAATAATAATTTAAAAAATAAAAAATAAAAATAAAAAAATTAAAAAAAGAAAAAGAAAAAACATTTTAATTAAATTAAAAGATTCAATTATGATTAAATTTCCTAATAAATGGATCCTACAGATAAAAAAAAAGCATACACTTCAAGTTAAAAAGGTAAATGGAAAATAAAAATATGAAAAAAAAAGAATCTTTGTATTTTTGTGATTTCATTTATAATGTCTTCTTTTGCATTTCTGGTTTTGTTGTAATCTCTCTTTTTTCATTTCTGATTTTGTTGTAATCTCTCTCTTTTTTTTTCATGATTAATCTGGAGAGTGGATTATTTTGTTTATCTTTCTTAAGAACCAAGACTTTTTGTTTCAGTGACCTTTTGTATTTTTACCTTTTCTTTTTGGTCTCTATTTAGTTCTACTAGGAATTTTTTTTTTTTTTTTTTTTTTTTTTACTCATTTTCTTCTGTCAATTTTTGGCTTTTTGGTTTAGTTTGTTCTGTGTTTCTAGTTCTTGGCAGTCCATCGTTAGGTTGTTAATTTGTAATGTTCCTACTTTTTTAGCATAGGCATTTAATGCTATGAACATCCCTCTTGGACTCTTGGAATCTTGGAACTCCTTTTTCTGTATCCCACAGAATTTGATGGGTTGTGTTTTCCTTTTCATTTGTTTCAAAAATTGTTATAATGTCCACCTTAATTTCTTCATTGACACAATAATCATTAAGAAACATGTTTGATTTCCACGTATTTGTATAGTTTCCAAAGTTTCTAAAGGTAGTGATATTCAGTTTTATTCAAGCGTGGCCTGAGAAGATTCTTGATAAGTTTTTAATGTTAAAAAATTCACTGAGACTCGTTTTGTGGCCTAAAATACAAGGTCTATACAAGGTGATACATGGTCTATGTTGGAGAATGTTCCATGTGCTTATGTGAAAAAATATGTACATTTCACAGTTGTTGAGTAGATTTTTCTGTCAAGGTGTGTTAGGTCTATTGCACCTAAAGTCCAAATAAGTTCAATATTTCTTTGTTGATTTCCCATCTAAATGATGTCTAATGCTGTGAGTGGGCTGTTGAAGCCCCACACTATTATTGTATTATTTTTCACCTCTCTTATTAGATATGGTAATATTTGTTTTATGAATCTGGGTGCTCCAGTATTGAGTGCATATATACTGAGTAATGTTATATCCTCCTGTTGAATTAATCCTTTTATCATTATGCATTGACCTAATTTGTTTTTTTAACGTTTTAATTTAATATCTCTTATATCTAGTATAGATTTAGCTACTCCTACTCCTTTTTGGTTTCTACTTCCATAAAATATCTTTTTTCAATCCTTTCCTCTCAGTCTATGTATGTATTTACAGAAAAGGTGAGTTTCTTGGAAGCAGCGTTTAGATGGATCATGTTTCTTATATTTTCTGCCAATCTATCTCTCTTTAGTAGAGTATTTAATCCATTTGAGGTCAAGGTTAATATTTATATATGAGGTTTATTTTCTGTAAGGTCATTAAATCTTTTCTAGTTGTTTTATACATTGTTTGTCTCTTTTTCTCTGTTTGTCTTTATGGTTTGGTGAAATTTTGTTGTATTCACAATTTGACTTTTCTTTTTTTTTTTTTTTTTTTTTTTTTAATTTATTTATTATTATTATACTTTAAGTTGTAGGGTACATGTGCATAACGTGCAGGTTTGTTACATATGTATACTTGTGCCATGTTGCTGTGCTGCACCCATCAACTCGTCATTTACATCAGGTATCACTTCCAATGCAATCCCTCCCCCCTCCCCCCTCCCCATGATAGGCCCCGGTGTGTGATGTTCCCCTTCCTGAGTCCGAGTGATCTCATTGTTCAGTTCCCACCTATGAGTGAGAACATGCGGTGTTTGGTTTTCTGTTCTTGTGATAGTTTGCTAAGAATGATGGATTCCAGCTGCATCCAAGTCCCTACAAAGGACTCAAACTCATCCTTTTTTATGGCTGCATAGTATTCCATGGTGTATATGTGCCACATTTTCTTAATCCAATCTGTCACTGATGGACATTTGGGTTGATTCCAAGTCTTTGCTATTGTGAATAGTGCTGCAATAAACATACGTGTGCATGTGTCTTTATAGCAGCATAATTTATAATCCTTTGGGTATATACCCAGTAATGGGATGGCTGGGTCATATGGTACATCTAGTTCTAGATCCTTGAGGAATCGCCA